AGTTAAAATGTCTTGCTTACCATTTATCTGATAATCCAGTTGGAAATTTGTGCTCTTTATCCCCAGTATTCTGGACTCTGCAGATTTAAAGGTCCTGGCTCTCAAAAGAAGAAAACTTCTACCAGTGAACACTCTAAGAATCCTATACAACTATACAACTTTTAGCTATCACTCTCTCCTGATTACTACCTTGGTTTCCTTATGTCAAAGACCAGCAAATAAACTTTTAGCTATCACTCTCTCCTGATTACTACCTTATGTCAAAGACCAGCAAATTAGGAAAGGAATCACTATTTTAGTCAAGGTTCATGAATTCTGGTTGTCAGGAAGAGGTGGGGCTACTGTTATACTATGGAGTCATGGAGGAGTCCATTTAACACCCAAGGTTTTCACTGGGACATTTTTTGGTACTCCCTTGCCCAATTTTGGTAGTAAATGGACAAGAAGGACATGATTTCCAGGGACTCAGACTCTTCAAGGATATCTTTGTGCTTCCACATAAACCACCCAGATCAGCAGAGGTGCTAGAAGGAGATGGGAACATAATATAATTAAGGAGAGGGAAATGATGCAAATCCATTGCCTCCAGGAAATCAATTGCAGCTGCAGGGATTAGTTCACCCCACTATTCTTCCTCTTTAAGTTTCTGGGGTAAAAAAAAAACCAAACAATCAGAATCTAAGAAGACCCGTTCCGAGTTGAATTGAACTTATTATATAACGCAAGAGGATCTGAGTGGTACAACTGTAGTGCCATACTCCCAGATTTCCTATTTAGGACTCAGGCTCTCATTCACTCAGCTCTCAGGTACCTGGATGAGCTTACAAGCTGGGGGATTTTTGGAGTGGGAAGGAGCAATGGGCTGGATGCAAGAAAGAGAACACCTAATTGATCTTCATTCCCAGTCCCAGGGATTCAAGGGTGTGGGGAAGAAACAGCCATCACAGAAAGACTTGGTGACTGTTGGATGAATCAGTTCTTTCTGTTTAACAAAGAAGCCATGAATGTGGAAGAGGTGGGAGTAGGAGGTTGAATCACCAAAAGTCACAGAGTAGATTTGCAGTAAATGTGGGATTTGAGCTCAAGATTTTAATTCAAGGTCCCAGGCCATTCTGTCATCCCAGAAGGGTCTTTTCAGCTTCTAGTCCTAAATTCGAGTTTTACGATGGTAGAAACTGAGGCTCTCGCAAGCTGAATGACTTGTATGAGACCTGCAACCAGGTCTTGTGACTCAGAGACCCAGATTTGTTCTGCAACACCATATTCAGTGCAATTCAAAGTGCTAAATGTGTTAGTTAGGTGTTCTTTGAGGTAGGTTTTGAGGAATTGGGCTGTCAAAAACTGCCCAGTGTTACCTCATTCCCCACCCACATCTGTCGGACTCCTGAGGCAAGGTTCTTTCCATTGTGCCATCCTCCTCCTCCTCCTCCTCCTCCTCTCTATATTAATAAGTGTGATTCAAGACTCCAGCAGAGGACAACTCATGGTAAACAGCTGCCACGAGGTGGTAGTTTAACAAATGTTTGTCACAAGGGTTCTGAGGCCAATTTCCGGTGTGCGGAGGGAGGTCTTCCCCTACACTAATGAGAAACTCTTGGACACCAGCAGGATATTTGAGGATTCAACTCAATTCTGACACTATCTACTTGGAGACTGCGTCAGATTCTACAGGTTAAGCGTTCAATCCTATAAGGCTTCCCCTAACCCAAGCTTCAGACACCAATAATAAGCCTAGATTGTTGCCAGGGCTTCTGACTTATTTGCTGTATATTAGAGTTTCCTAGGACCCTGTCCCTGGATTTGATTAATTTGCTAGAGCAGCTCACAGAACTCAGAGAAACATTTTATTTACTAGATTATCAGTTTATTTTAAAAAGGATATAACTCAGGAACAGCCAGATGAAAGAGATGCACAGGGCAAGGTGTGGGGAAAGGGCACAGAGCCTCCATGCCCTCTGAGTGCACTGCTCACTCAGCACTTCCAGGTGTTCACCAACCCAGAAGCTCTCTGAACGCTGTCCTCTGGGTTTTTATGGAGGCTTCATTACATAGGCATGATTGATTAACTCTTTGGCCATCGATGATTAATTCAACCTCTAGTTCCTCTCCACTTCTAGGAAATTAGAGAGTGGTACTGAAAGTTCCACCACTTTATTTACGGTTGGTTCCTTTGGCAACAAGCCCCCATTCTTAGGTGCTTTCCAAGTCACTTCATTAACATAAACCCAGTTCTGCTGAAAAGGAACTTGTTATGAATGACAAGACACCCATTTCACCTTTATGCCAATGAAGCAATTTCAGGTTCTGAGGACAAGAGACCAAATCCTATGACAAAAGATGCTCTCATTGCTCTTATCACTCAGGAAATTCCAAGGTTTTGGGGAGCTATGAGCCAGGAACCCTGGATAAAGATAAAAAATATGAGAAATCCATTTGAAGAGTACATTTGAATTACCAAATGTATATTGCTTATGAATAACAACATATCAGAAATAACCAACCTGATGGAAGGAGACCAAGTAGGTATGGGGAAGAACAGAATCACTTTATGGCTGAAAAAATGGGCTTTGCCATTAGAACTATCTGGCTTCAAATCCAGGTTCAGAACAATTTGCTTGCTAGTTGGCTTTAGGTAAACAATCTCTTTGAATCTTAGTTTCCTTGTTTGTAAAATAAATGATAGTAATGTTCACCACAGATACTATTTTATTATTAAATGGCATTGTGCCTGTCAAACTCAGGGAGTTCGGCACACAGAAGTTTTCAATCGAGATGAGCAATGGAGTGAGGGAGGAAGAAACTTTCTTCTTCTCTTCTAGGTTCTTCCTGCTGCTCTAGTAATTAAATCATCATGAGACAGATTAACAAGGATAATAACTAAATTATTACCCAGGTATGTATGGAAACCTCACATACATGAGAGATTCAGTGACAAAAAGGGAAAATGAGGCATATATGACTTTCTAAGTTGAGGATGAGATAAACCACCTTAGGGCTCCAGAGGGGAGGAATAGGACAATAAGAAGGGCAATAAGAAAAGATGTTCAGTATTTAGAAGTTTGCCTTGCCCTATAGATAGTTCATAAAGAGTTATTTCTGGTGATAACTCTTATAATGGGGCAAGGCCACTAATTTAAATTCTTTAAATTCTTTAAGGTAAAAGTTTCTCCTGAGCCTGCAGGGTCTCAATCGCCTTCAGCTCAAAATAATTTACATGCCAGAGTGGCATATCTTGAGGAGGCTTGTTCCAAACACCTTCGCTAGCTACTCTTTGGTTTGCACCTCTACTTTCTTTGTATCCTTGATTGTCTGTTAATTCTTCTTTATGTTTGCCACGCTGTCATGTGCCCAGGTTCCATACTTGGTATTAACCACTAAAGTTCTGTTTTCCTTCTTCCTTCACACCCACTCTGAGTGCCTTCTACCCCTTCTCCACCCCATCTCCGGATCCAGGACTGGGCTCCTGCCATAGTCATGGAATCCTTGTCATGCACGACGTCATTCTTTTTCTTGGGCCCCCAGTCCAGGTGAACCTGTACATTCTGGCCATGCTTATTAAATAAATAAATTTAATATTATTATTTATTAACCTTTATTGAGCATTTACTCTAAGCTCAGACCTTCGCCAAGCACTTGTATCTATCATTTCATTTAATACTCATAGCGATCTCAGAGGTAAATTATACTTTAATCTGTTTTATAAATCAGAAGATTAAATCTCTAAGATGTTAAGTAATGTGTTCAAGGCTCACAGTTTGTAATTGGTGCTGTGAGTTGTCCTTGGGCTGTCTGACTTCAGAAGCTGTGTTTCCAACCCCAGTAACTGCAAATTGCTTCTGCCACCAGCTCTGCTGCCCATCCAAGGACAAGGCTGCTGCCAACTTGCAGCCCTTTGCCAGGCCCTCTGTTTCCTTTCGGAAATCTGAGGTTGGCTTGTCTGTCATGGAAATAAGTATTACCTGAAAGATATCGGTTATTCATTTTTGTTTAATTTTTGTTCCTCCTTGTCAGCTCTAAGAAGGCAAGGACAGTGACATGTTCTCTGCTACATCCCTAGTCTACAAAGTCAGTGGCTCACATGTAATAGGTGTCCAGTAGAGAGCTGCTGAATGACTACTGAATGAATCCCACATAGCTTCCACAGCCCTTGGACCCCACCCTCCCAGGATTAGCCCAGCTGCAGGTCCACATTCAGGCTCTGTAGCTGGGCCTGTTCTCCTGGCCGCTTGGCTTCTCGGAAGCTCTCTTTTTTTTTCTGTTGCTGGGAGAAGACTCTACTTTCCCTCCTTGCACCTTAGAAACCTCTAGATCTGTGACTGGAAACCAAAGGCTAACCTCATAATTTGTGTATCTCTTGATACCCAGGGTGATTCAGAGAAGGCCTGAGCCGTGCATGCAGCATATGGCCACTCCTCCCAGCTGCCTTCTCCCAAAATACTTGATGCAGCCCCTTCTAGGATGCAGCCCCTTCTAGGATGTTGATGCAGCCCCTTCTAGGATGTTGGGCTAAAGGTTTTATTACATTACTTCATTGACTCCACTAAAAAAACTTGAGGAATAGATATTTGTATTCCTATTTCGTAGAGGAAGAATTAAAGCTCAGAGAGATGAAGTCACTTGTCCAAAATCACACAGTAAGTGGCAGAATTGGGTATTGAATCCAGAGGTTTAATTCCAAAGATAGTTTCCTTATCTATTAAGCAAGAGTTGGTGACAGTATCAATGGGTTTGCCCTGCCCTGGAAAAGATTTCCGTATCCAGAAGACAAAGAGAGAAACAAAGGGAGAGAAGTCCCACCTTGGCATTGCACCATCTCTTAATCTCTTTGGAATCTGGACTGGAGACAGCATCGAGCTCAGCATGTGGCAACTCCAGCTGCTCCCCTCTCTCACTCCCCCTGGGGGTCCCCTGAGGTATGTCATATTTCTCTCTGACATTCTTGAAATATTTTATGATTCATTCTTGGAGCATCAACTTTTTAACTCTTTTCCCATGGAATAATTTCATCTTCCTTAGCTGTAGGCCTGTGTGGAGACTCACAGAACTTATGTGAACAAAGAAAAGAGGAATATCCTTTGGTACTACATCCACTGTTCCCCCTATAAGTGTGATTTACTGGAGTCTAATAGTTTATTGGCTTGTTCTGGAGACCATTAAGACTGGAAGGGACCTTTTTTTTTCAGAGAGAGGACTTGGCCGAGGACATAGCTTAGGTTTTGCCACTTTGAGTCCCGAGTGATTTGCATTCCACCTTCATAAATCCACGACGCCTGAATTACTGTGGTTTACTAACACAAATGCAAGATAAGCCAAATTTTTCAGTTTGGTCAATGGTACTCATGCTTTCAAATAATACTTTCCTAATTCTCTTACTAGGTTGGAAAAGCTGAACTGAGTGCACCCTGGATGACAAACAAGTGAGTAAAATTTCACAAGA